TTGTGCTTTTTTACAGAAACAATCTTGCAACTTTCTCCCCCCCCTTAGAACCTTTATTGAAGCAGATAGTCATTTTGCCACCCCTGTAGCTGTTTGATTCATGTTTGTTTCAGTTCTGCAAAAGTCTTTTGCTGTTGTCTTCAAGCCCTGCATTACGTAACACCCATGTACAGTACCTTTCAAATTCTTCTGTTCACTTTGGTGGAGGACTTTGACTTGCTCATTTGCTCATTTAAGCCCACCGACTACATTTGTATTGATGTTGATAGTCATATTATCAGGCTGCCTTCTTATGCTAGCAATCATTGCCCCATACACAATTAACACATTCCTGATCATGGAAGGCTCCACATATCCAGATCCTCCTAGATTTTATGAATCCATCTTTGTTGCAGTTGAAACTGATTTTCGCAATGTCGATGTTAATGTTGTGCTCACCACTGTGTTAGCCATCCATTATGCACACTGCAGTTCATAAACGCCAGTGTGCGGTCTGTAATGGGAGTTCTGTATAAGCAGCTGTGGAATAAATCAGTATTTAAATTGGTCTATCAGTATTCACCATGGAACAAATCAGTCTGTTGTCTACCAGCTTTGGGACATGCAGTAGCATCTCGATTTTTTCTGCAATAAATATCTGGAAAGATACAAGTTGCTGGTTGTGATCTACCTTTAGCATCAGTATTGTTTAAAAACAATGCTGGTTAAGTCACATAATATTGAATTTTGGAGTATTACAGTTTGATGCTGCAGCACAAGTAATTTGATCCTTGAGGTGTAGGCTCTTTGTTCTGATGAAGCAGAAATGCAAAGTGTGTAAATAATTGTACTTTATTTATGCTAATTATCTTTAAAGTCCAGCATGATAACTAAAAAAACATGCACACCTAATCCTCCTTGTGTGCAGGAAAATAATCAGTGCTAGGCCTGATCTTCATTTTGTGTTTTTTAAATTTCACATGATTGTCTTCTGACCTTCTGACTTCACTGAAAATAAGATCGAGAATCTGAAACCTTAAAACCAGCAACATGCATGATGCTAGGGAGGTGCCCACAGCCTCATAAACCTGAAATGGACAGAACTGTTGTGCAGGAGGAGTCTGATCTGTGTTTCCGTGTGTCAGAAGATATTTGAAAACTAGCTGTTAGTTGGGTTACAGAGGAAGTCCAGGATCTGTTTGGTGTACTGAACCTTACTGTTTTGTGCATTTATTTTTTTAATGTTGTGCTAAATTAACAAATGTGTTTTAATCACTGTGGTTTGTGTTGGTTATCTTTATTGATTGCAAGGAAAAAAAAAGATTGGGAAAACCCCTCATCCCATCGCAGCTTCTGATATTCCAGAATTCTTAATTCCTTTACTCTTCAATACAAAACCAATCATCCTGTACTTTTCAGGTTGGGCTGGTGAGAGGACCTGTGGTCTCATCAAGAGATCAAGACAGCTTTGCCTCTTCAGTGCTTTTGGAGTTTGGTTATAGGAGGTGCTGGGTACAAGTGGAGATAGAAGGACTTGTTTCACATGTGCCTCCCTCTTCTTTCTTCTTCCCTGGTACACTGTAGTGGAGGATCAGCTCCATTCCTAACAGGCGGCCCTCACTCTTGTTGTTTGTATACCTGATCAGTCCTGAGCCTTGAGGAAGGGGGAGGGGTGTGATTCAGGGTTTTGGCTCCTTATCCTTTTAAGGCATGGAGGAAGAGCAACATGACATGATCCCCCTGCCATCTGAGCGTCACACGCCCATGCCTGCGACCTGACATCACTGCTGTGGATAAGGAAACCTCTGAAACAAGCTCTCCATGTAGCACTGGCCTCCACACAGCTGAGTGTTGTCACATGGGCTGGGGGACAATAGAGGGGCTGGGTCTGATCATGGATCTGGGCCATAAATCTGCCTGTAAGGGAGTTGGTAAGCTTAAACTCCTACACTGCAGTAGCTTTTTACACAAGTTCTGATTACTTTTTTCCAATAACTGAATTTCGAAAGTGAATTTTTTGCTTGGATTGCTACATTTCACGTTACAAAACATTTGAGTAGTAGAAACTTACCAAAGCCCGCTGTCAGCTAAGATTTGTTTTGCAACCTTTGTACCCTAAGATGTTTATAAAAGATGTTTTTAAATTTAATCCTCAATATTGCTGCTTCCATTTTCCAAAACATTTGTCCAGTCAGAAAAGAGGGTGAAGATGTACTGTATAAGGCATTGAAAAGAAGTTTTGAGTATAAGAATACTTACTGAATAGTTATAGTCCTACACTGTCAGAATTATTATTACAGAAGATCTATGCTCACAAAACCAGACATTATTAGCATTCGTTTTCACATGCCCCTGACTTTCTAAGATATGCAAATGAAGTAGAGAGAAACGTTTCCAGTGCCTCGCTTAATTTCTCATTAGCAAGATTAATCAAAGTTGAGAATTAATGTGGGGGAGGCTGGCTAGGAGAGAACAAGTCACATAAACCTTTGCTCAGCAGATTAGTGGGAACTATCTTCTAACTCCACAAAGGGAACTCTTTATGAATAGACAGTGCGCTTTGTAGCCTGGCACTTAAGTGATGTTGGCTGTCTCCTTAGGAAAATCAAACACAAAAAATGCTTTGATGCAATTACATTAAACAGGGGTTTTCTTTTAACTTGTTTACACATTCCAGCTGAAAATGGCAAGTACCTGAGGGCCCAAAGACACATTCATGTACCCTGTCCCATTGGTGTCCTAAGGAAGAAATCCACCTTACTGTTTCTTTGTGCTACTGTATGTTCGGTTTGGCTACTCTCTGACCTCATGCATGTATCCAGAGTTTCAGTATTAATGTGTTTATAGCTAACTGCAGTGGTTTTAGTGATGGTATGAGAAATATTCTATCCACAAGCAGCAACCTAAGGCAACTTGTTAACAAGTAAACAGTAAACAGAATGTAAACAAGTAAACAGTGTCTTTTTGTTCAATAAAGTGTTGGTAGAGGATAGAAGAGTAAGCCCTTCCCCAGAAGGCTGATGGAATGATTTTTATACAGTATTTGTGAGAGCTCTCGCTTTCACGAATGGTAGCGTCCAGTTTCACTAATTCTTCAGTGAAAGTTCCAGACTGGCAAATTTCTGTATTGGACATAAGGCCCTGCTGAGCCCAGAAAAGAGCAGCACTGCTAAAACATCACAAATCAGAATCAACCAAGCCAGACAACATACCTAACCCACTGAGGTACACACTTGCAAACACAAGTCAAACTGGAATGCTAGCAGGCCATACTCGATAGTGAATATTTTAAAGGTGGGGCTCGGGGTGTGTTTTGTAGTAATTCAGTCAAGTAGAAGTTGGGTCTCTCCCATGCTTCTAGTTGTTCGAATGAATGAAGTATGGCATCTGTTCTGGGTAGGGTTTCTTAACCACCAAGAGGCACACTTTGTGTGTTTTGTGCTATTCACTGTGTTTTATGTGGCTTTTAATTTGGGCTTTCGAAGAGCCTATATTTTCTATTGATTCATCAGTGCATAGTTTTGTTCTAATGTTAATGTTGTTCTAAAGCATAATGTTGTGTGACTTTTTAGGGCACTATCATGCAAGGTTAATGTTGAGGATGTCCTACAGCAGCAGGCGCTTTCTTATTTGAAAAATGTCTGAGTGTGGACAGCTGGTGTTTCGCCCTGCCTGAGGTAATTGTGGCTGGGAACATCAGCATTGATTTCTGATGTAGTGGAAAGTGTGGGGGGACAGGCTGTGTGCGACTGGCCATTATTTTCTGGGACACCCTGGCTTGTAGCCACAATCTTGGGCCCGGAGGTGTCACATGGATTGAAATTCAGTTCTCATCTATGTGTTATCATGTTTTTTTTCTTTGCTTTGTTATGATTTTTTTATAAATTGTAAGAACACTTTTTGAATTACAAAGTGCTTTTAGTGGCTGTTATTTGTGATGTACAAATCAAACATCAAACTCAAGTACCAGCCAGATTCAAATCCAAGATAAAAATAATGGGTTTTTAATCTGTTTTTAAGAACAGTCCTCAATCTTGGTGTACAATAATCGAAAGCTATCTCCTATGTTGCAGTCTGCGCCAAGAAGACATTAAGACAGAACTAGTTGAGCAAGGAGCACAGTCAGGGGGCACGCTGAGAGCAGATTATGGAGGTCTGAGGAAACACAGATGCACAGTGTCCTAAATGTCAGTTTTGCAATTCTGAAATAAATTCCACATTGAATTGGCATCTTATGCAGTGAAGTAAAGTTCTCATTAAGCTGAGTCACAAGTTTGGAGTAAACTTAGTCTGTCGGTTGGGTTTTTCCGAGACATCAGAAAAGCCTGTTGCAGAAATTTGCTCTAGATGGGATGAAAGGACTTCTGAGATTCTCACTGCCAGGCAAGAAGGTTAAAATCTGTAAGATCATCTCATACTGTTGTGTCAAATGCAGACTGAGGATGCTGTCATGTGTTAAATGTCTGTCAGTATTCTTCTGCATGGTGTGGGTTTAAATTGGCTTCCAAATGCACCCCAATGTGATCATGTTGTAGACTGTCAGAAAACACTTGAATTGGGAAGGCAGGAATTAAACCTGCAATTTACAAAAAAGTTCCCCTTCTTCAGTCTCCACAGTCAGCCACTGATGGTAGGGGTTGTATTCAGGCAGTCTAAAATAGTTGAATGATACTGATTAAAGACCACATGCTCAGCAAATAAACTGAATCATTGATCAGGAACCAGCTTCCATAACATGTGGAAAAGGTTTTATTTTATATGATCAGAAGATGCCACACCAGTAGTTATCAGGAATTTTGATCTTTGCCTTAACGTTATAATGGGTACCCCCCACCTAGTTTAAGTGATAGTCTAAAATGCAGTTAAATGTTGGGAGTGTAAGGCTGTTTGGGAATACCTTTAATCTGTACTTAGCCTATTCCTTCAGGCCACCACAAACTGTTTCTATAATGGCTCTTGTACAGATTACTCCTCATATGTGTCCTTTCAGTGAAAACGGTATTTTGTCTCCTGTCTTTCAGCTTCTCTGTAATGTTGGCCACTGTGAGGAGAAGTTCGGTTTCACTTACGAAGAAATTATAATCTGGTAAGTCTGTGGCCTAGCTAGGCTATTTTGTGTGTTTTTTAACCATGTTTTCTTATTATAGACCTGAGTGGTAGATTGATTTTGAATGAGAAATAAAGGGATGTTGTGGGTTTGGGGTACGTTCGGATTTATTGCACTGTTTGCAGCGTGGTGTTTCAGGCACATCTTTAGCTCTTCACTCTTCTGTCCCACTCCCAGCCCTACACCGCACAGCCCTTCTGCATTCGTCCTCCCACCAGTCCCCCAGGAGCAGGAAGGTTGTAGCCCTGGTTCGATTTTCCCTTTGCAGTTAGTCACAGCTGGGCAGATGTACAGCTAATTAGCCTGTACTGTATAAATATGTTGGGGATTTTTTTGCGTTCTTTCACATAGAATCTCTGTGAATCTGTTTTGTTCTTGACGTGTGGGTTCTTCCTAGAATATCTTTCTCCCACTGCCTCCCCACCCCCCATTTTTTAGTCTCCAGTTCTATTCTGATTTATTGAAGTGCCATTCCAGTGTCAAATCAGACTGTATCCTGGAGGTTAATTCCATAACGCCCTCCCTGTTTGATGAATGAGCGTCAGAGATGTTTGTTGCATACCATATGGATAGTGACATGCCCCTCTTACAGACACAAATGGTAAAATTATGTTAATTTTAATAAAACTGGGTGATTAATTTTTAACTCCAAAACAGATATATTGAGTGAACCTGTATTTACTGTATAAACATAAACAGGTGGCCTTTCTTTGAACAAATGGTGGCACACTTAGATGAGATATTTTTAGTGGAGTTCTTAATTCTCATTTTAAGACACTTCTGCAGGGGAGAAAGCTATCTGAAGTCTTCTATATGAAGTCTTCTAATCAGGTCGTACAATACTGTCTTTAATGATTGGAGTTAAGCTTTGACTTTACAAGTGCATAAAAAGATATTGGACATTTTGTCTCCAAATGCTGATAATACAGAGGTTTGTAGCTTAGCTTTTATTTCCCCTATGTGATCTGTGATTATGACTCTATTATTTAGTCTGTATTTCAATATAAAAGTGTAGCATGTGTAGGTCTCTTTTTTTTGTGCTGCAATGGTTAGTTTTGATGATCTGCTTTTATGCTTTCTGTGACACAAATAACACCATACCATCCCTAAGTGAATGGTTATAATTTTTCTCTCTCAATAGCAAAATATAATTGCATTTAATTGCAATAAATTATACCAGCAGCATTTTACCATCCATTAATGTGAGTTTTTACACCAAATAGCTGATACTATAGTTCATTTTTAAACAATAGCAATAATTGTGTTTTATAAAAAAAACAATGTTATGGTAACAGTACCTCTCTATTGCATGAGCTCACATCTGTGATACTGCTCAAATATTGAACACAAATGTTACATGTAAGACTAGCATTGGAACGTCTGGTAAACCTAAATATGTCAACACCATTTATTTTTTAATTAAATTAAAGTTTAGAAAAAAAGATGTCTCTCCAAACTGAGCATTCCTCAATTATATAATCGTTTGTTCTCAGAAAAGTTGGGTTTGTCTTCAGGCTGTGCTTTTCACGAAAAAGAAATGCGAGTTCTCCTAAAACATGTCATCTTCTGTGGTTTTCCGAGCAACATATCAATTTCGGTACAACCATTGTCATGAAACATAGCAGCAAATAGGCGAGTTTCTAAACTCCCCACTACTTCAGAGGAGCTCTTGGAAACATTTATTCAGACCAAATTGGGGGGATAACTTTATAACGTATTACATTTGTAAGTGGAAAAGTGGGGGGAAAAAAGAGGAATGTAGGGCCAGATGTCCAGGCACATCATCATGATTCAAAAACGGGGAGCTTGTCAGATTTTGGACAGCTTCAGCAAGTCACTGCAGACCCCCTGTGAATACTGAACCTACTGAAGCTGTCCAGAGGACACAAGTGAAAACTACAGTGAAGTCCATTTACAACTGAGGAAAGGAAGCACTTCTTGACACAAAGGGTTCCGCTAGTACAGGACAGATGACCCAGCTGTGTTGTTGAAGCTGACACCCTGGCTTTTTTCATGACATGCCTGGCTGCGATTCTCAGATTAATTAGCTACTCACTCTCATACAGGCTAGATTCACCAAATGGCCTCCTCTCCTCTCTGTCTTATTTTTATGAATAAGTGTAAACAGATGTTTAGAACACGTGTCTGTTGCACAATTAATAAAAAGATGTGGGGAAATTAGAGTGTTACATTTTGCATTCCAGCCCTTCTTCTTATACATATTACATGCCATAGCTTATTCTGAAAGCAGCCAATTATGATATGGTTTTATAATTCAACTGCAGGTCATGCCCAAGACCTGCACTTCAAATGGTTGTAAGAACCAATACCGCTGTCTTAAAATATGTGTAATTAGTAATGTTGCTGTTCTCCAGATACTTACAGTCTGATGACTTTTTGGGTTCTTTGATAGCCAATGTATTACTGCTGAAAGGCTGCAATGTGCAGACTTTTTGCTGACCTTTTCTCCTCTCTTCTCTGCCAACAGTCTACGGTTAGCATTATTAAATGAAGCGAAAGAGGTGCGAGCTGCAGGGCTGCGAGCTCTCCGCTATCTCATCAGAGACAGCAGTATTCTTCAGAAGGTGCTAAGACTACAGGTGGACTACTTGATATCCAGGTGAGCTCGCGGCTCCGAGCTGCAGATGTTGGGCATCTGGAACAATGGGATTTGTGGTGCACATGATTTTGGACCACTGGGTGTGACAAATTGTCTGAACCTGCGCGCTGGGGATTGACAGGTTGTGTTCATGGCTTAATAGGCTGCATCTATGGTTAATCTAAAACTGTAAGGCAAACAAAAAAGCCCAGGCACAAATGGTAAAACATAGGGAGCATTGCAGAAGTTCAGTTGATTATCTTTGTCATTGCAAAGCAACATAAATACCATGGCCCTGGAAAGCTAATAGGGCAGCATTTTGTATTCCAGAGAATCTGTTCTAAACACTTTCCCCAAACCTTTCAAGATGTTTTAATTTTAAAAGTAAGAACTAACTGTCAAAATACCTGGTTTCTGTTGTAGAACAGCACTACTTTGGTGCTATGGGGTTTGTTGTAGGTTTTCAGACTCCTGCATGTTGACTTTCTGGGTTGGCTATCGCAGCACAGCTGCACTCCGAGCACTTCTGTAATAAACAGTCAGCGCTCAAGAAAAGTGCCTGAGGCTTCTGGACATGATGTTAACAAGTAGAGAAACGCGCATCAGCTGTTATTAAAATCAGAGCCAGGGAAATTCATTCATTCAGGGAGGCTCGTTAATGCAGAGCAGTAATGGAGAGTTCCTGTCCTCTGTAGCACTGTGGTTAAGGCTTCTTGGATCTTACATTTTCTTTACATGTACTTGAAGGGTGGTGGTGGGGGGTTACGGAGAAGTTGACCGGGCACAAAGCAGAGGAAATTTAATTTCCTCCATGTTTGCATGGACCCTGTAAAATCGGATATGTGATGTATTGAATTAATCTTCAAGATCTAGAAGGTGTTATCTTGTGTAGGGACTTTTCCTTTGACGAGAGTGTGACAAGATGTACTTATACCTGCTTCGTGGCCCTGACTCCAGTTCTCTGTTACCAGGTGCATTGATATTCAGCAGAGTAATGAAGTGGAGCGAACACAAGCACTGAGATTAGTACGAAAGGTAAGGCCTATGGATGCTTTTCAGGAGAGTGGCAGGTCATTTTTTTCACTGAAAATATCAAAGACTCTGCCGAACCCTCCAATGAAGGGTTCATTGCTACTGTAGAGCTAAGGATGAAAGCTAAGGATGGAAAGCTGTAAGCCATCAGATGGTGTGGAAAGGCCTGGTCCGTCTTTTTTAATTTTAATTTCACCATCCAATGTGTATGATCATTTTATAAATGATTTCAGAATCCTGATACAGATACTAAAGAATGGCTTGAAATTTCCAAAATTTTGCAGGAGCTTAATAGGCCTAATATTTAAAAAAACCTTGCTTTATTTACAGTGTAGTGCTTTGCTAAGGTGGAATGAAAGATCAGGGGATGCACAGGGTATTTCCTCTTCCCCTGGTGTCAGCTTTAAACGTCCTGTGACTGTCTTCCAAACTGACAAATCTGAAATCAGATACAAAGAGATCAGGTTTTGCAGTACTTTCGATCGTTGCATGAACTTAAAAAATGTGCAGCACATGTAAAAAAATAAAAAATGTGCAGCAATGTGGACCAGGTTGTTGACACAAATTGAAAATGTACATCTTCAGCAAGGTAATTTTTTCGCTCTACATTAATGACAGAATATGAACTATTTCAAATAATAAAAAAAATTATTAACAGAAACATTTTAACACTTCAGTATTGTAGTTTTTAAAAGGAACCATTTTATCACCACTAAATATAAAAAATGATCTGAGATATCAGTTTGTCTCAGCGACTTCTCTTTGCTTTTTAACTCGTCTGCGTTGTTCCTGTGTTTTTTTCTCTCAGCAAGCACAACAAAACTTGTGGTTTTCGATGTTTGTGTGTAAAGATGTGTCCTTTCTGACTGGACTTCCTTTTTCAAAGGAGGTAGCAGTTTGATATGGCCAAGCAGTAAAGTGGCTTTTCTCGGAAGCCTTTAACCACATACAAACAATATGTAAAAATAGAGAGCTCTCTGCCTCATTCTTTTTTTTCTCATGCAGAGTGTAAAAATAGAGTATTCCCTGCTATAAATTTTTTTTATTGAAAAAAAAAAACTTGTATCTTTTGGCATCACCACATTTCTTCATAAACAAGAGTTAACTGAGTTTAATAAATGCATCACACAGTTCATTCAAAGAAAGCCAAAACTAAATTTTACTACAAAAACTGATTTGTGCTGTTTTTTTTTCTAATAATAAACCAAAGCAAAGCACATGTGACCGAAAGTATGAGCTTGGCAATAAACAATGCAATTTCTTCTTCAGTGAATGAGATTCGCTTGACGGGCTGTCATATTGCTGTGTGGTTCTTGAATGTGAAAGCTTGTGGATTAAGATAAAACTGACTCGTGTGAAGTGTGAAGCGTATGAATTGGGCGTACAGCATCAAGTATGAGAATGGTCTTAACAGATAGCCAACCGTGGTTTTGGAACATAACATTCCAGGAGGTGTATCTTAAGTAAATAGTGTCTTGAAACCAATTGTATTTTCCTAAATCTCCCCCCTTCTCCCCCAGTTTATACCACTCTAATCTGAAATTGCCCCAACTCTGTGTTCTTTGTACCAATCAACACACAAGGAGTGGGAACTTTTCCTCCAAAACATGCAATATGGAGACATCTGCCAGTTTTTACAATTTCAGTGTGAAGAACCAGTCCAGTGATTTTTTGAGTGACTTTAAATTGGCTTTGTTTTTTACTTAGAGGATTAACAGCATGAATTAATTTCACGCTCAATTGCTTTTAGGAAAGTTAACATTAATTTCAAATGGGTGTGATGGTTACAGACTACACTACAAGTAAGTCACAGAGCGCCTGGCAGGCCCCTGGGCACACTATTGTGACGCATGCAGATGTTGCCCTAGGCAGTTGTGCCCCACCACCTGGGAAATCCCGATCAGGAAAAACCTGTGTCTTAGCCTAGACCTGGCAGCATGTGGACTGTAGAGCTTAACCTGTAGGGCTCATTCACTGGTTGAGCCATTGTACATTCCACACATCTTGGTTTTTGCTCAATTTAGGACAGTCCGTTGTTTCATTTGAACTCCAGAGTGGCACAGTCTTTTCCTGGAAGACTACTTGGATGATTTCTATCCCAAATGATCAGTATAAATAGAACAAATTAAGATCATCTTAACTGCCCAAAATGAAATTGTTGCACATTGTCTGAAATGAAGGGTCCAAAGTTGACCTATAAAATGCGTTACATTGTAGCGCTTCAGGACCAGGGTTGGTTTCCTCTAAGAGTGGAGGAAAAAGGGAAGCACACACTAAAACACGACAATTTATTTTTGACTCTTAAATTCCTAAAATACATCTTATTTTTAATTCAGTATGCTTTGTACTTTCCTACCTTGTGAAATTTTTGTAGTTTAGATGACATTACTAAGGGCTATAGTCCTCTATTTGGAAATTGGTCCCTGTGTCAGTATGAGTCTCTCGTATTGATGGGATATGAAGCTTTATTGCAAATGTGCTACTGTTAACAGTCAATACAGTGGTACACAAGGAAATAATTTTTCAAAAATTATGTGAACGTAATTAACCCCTCTCTCTTTTATCCTTTCTAGATGATCACTGTGAATGCTTTGCTGTTCCCCAGCTCCATAACAAACTCATTGATAGCAGTAGGAAATGACGGTTTGCAGGAAAGAGACCGGATGGTTCGTGCATGCATTGCCATAATCTGTGAACTAGGTAGGTACAGTATTAGATGCATGCAAATCTAGTCATCGTGTTTCGCAATGAGTGATTGTGCAGCTCTAAGTTGCATGTGTGGCTCTGTACTATAGTTACATCTTCCTCTGTCTTGACCGCAAAACTAACATTTACCTTTGTTACTGATTATCAGGTTATAACGTAACATAAAAAAGTTTCCAAGTTAGAGGAGTCTGTTTTGCCATCTTGCTGGTCAGGCCGTTTTGGTATCAAATGCTGTCGAACGGTATTTTCTTGAAGGAGCCCAGAGTTTGTGCTTCAAGCACCTGACTGGAAAGCCTGTTCCAGATATCCACCACCCCCTGTGTAAACAAGTGTTTTCTGTTTTCCATCTTAAATGAATTCCAGTTCTGTTTCCAGCTGTGACCAACTGTGACCCTGTGCTTCTCTACTGAGTTTTAAATAATTCCCTTGGCTATACCGTCTATACTCCTAAAATGTTATATAAATGGATATGCTTAACCTCAGGTTTTGTTGTAGAGTGAAGAGTTTTATCTCTGTATATGACAATCCCCTGACACAAGATATCACTGATGTTGCTCTTTCCAAAGTTATAATGCCCTTTTTGTGGTATGGTGAGCAAATCAGGACACAGTATTCTATATTTACCCACTATGGCATTAGTGTGCTATCTTTTTTAGAAGAAATTAAACTTCTCCATAATGCAGAGTATACACATGGAGGTCCAGAATACATGTCTTTAATATCCCATACACAATTTGAAGGACTGCAGTTACCAGCTTTGGTGGCTTGTCTGAATCCCTTGTTTAAGCTTTCTTATTCCTCAATTATCTATTACACCTTATGTGTTAGGCAGTGGACTTCTGATGCAAAATGCTATACTCTACCTCAGTGGATACTTGTGATAGTTTTATTTGTGAGAAGTACTTGGACCAACTTGTACCACAACTTAAAGTTCAGAGGTAGCAGAAAGTTAAAAAGCTTGTTGAAAATCAGTATCAGCAGTGAACTATTTGGTTGACAGACTTTGTTAGTCATCTACTTAAAAGAGAAGAAAGTGACCCACATTTGTTCTTCAGTTTAGGGTAAAACTATCAATATGCAGAGAAAGACACATTTTATTAATACTGTTAAGCACAAACTGTACATACGAACCGGCAACCTTCCAGCCACAGGCACAGATCCTTAGCCACGGAATATGCTGAAATTAATTTAACTTTCACCCAGAGGACTGTTTTCACAGGGAGTTGCTTTTATTAATTAAAAAAGCATTGACTGAGATCCCAGGCATTTGATACTGACAGTGGTGATGTTACAAACATACTGAAGGCTTTATTACTGACTCTAGAAGTTTCAGACTTGATTTTAGCTGGTTTTCCTCCAATTTGTTTAACGCTTTTTAAAGAACTGTAGCATTGTTTGGTCCTAAGAATACAGAAATATAACTTTGTGTTATACATATTAAGTTCAGTTTCCACTCTCTGGCAGGTTTAGTGATTGGCAGATGGTAACAATTTCATGATTTAACATTGATTTTAACTGTAGCTTTTTAATTCCTTCCATTGTAGCAGTTTTCTGTTTGCAGGATGGGTATGTTTATAATTTTCTGCAGTCTTAGTTGGGATATCGGATTAGCTCATGCTTCAGGAAGCATGACAAATGACTGAGTAATGGAACATCATCTCGAATGGACAGGCTTGCAGTTTTAGGATTAGTTCTGGTTTCACCTTCTAGTGTTTTAGTGGCCACACAATGATAAGAGCTTGCTGTAGCCCCTCTCTATTGCCATGGCACATTTTTCCTTGGATACATTGTTGGAATTGTGCTTTAATCACATCTGTGACCTTAACATCCCTGAGTAACAATTGTAGCCAGCAAACGGTGAGAAGTACTGTGGAAAGAGGAGCAAACCTCTTGTGTGACCGGCTCCTGACCTCACTGTATGTTCAAAATTAACCATAACCCTCCCTCATCAGCTTGGAACAGGGCATAGCATGAATCATATTTCCTTCCCTTTTCTCAGCTTTGAGGAACCCAGAAGTGGTGGCTTCGAGGGGAGGCCTTAGCACCATCCTGAAGAACGTGATCGACTGCCAGTTGAGCCGCATAAACGAGGCATTGATCACGACCATACTGCATCTCCTCAATCACCCCAAGACGCGGCAGTATGTGCGCTCCGATGTGGAACTGGAGGTACATGGGCTCCTGTTTAACTGGGCTTAAGCAAAGAGGACTCCCATGGGTTTTTCATAGAAGCACCTTCCCCAGTAGTGCATTTCTGTAGTGAAACCAAAGCCCACTGAGGCCCCCGGGTAGTCTTGTGAAGGTTCCCGAAACCAGTCATTAGGTGGTGAGTTCTATCAGAAGAATAAAAAAGAAGAAGAAGCTGTGGTTCTGTTAAGAATCTGTGTAATTATCAAAGTTTTGCTGAAAGCTCATTTAAGGTTTTCAGAATTTATTTACTGAAAGGGACCTAGAATGGTTCAGGCCCCTCTAACCAAAGAGCGGTTTCAAGGGTTCTTCTTAATTGATTAATCAGCACTTGATGGAAAGAAGTGTATAAAACTGACTCATCTTGGAAGAATTCTTCATACACATCCTGTGTATTCAGATTACCAGTTTTTTTACACATTTTGTGATGTATCCTAAGTTCCAACCTGAAACATATTTATGTTAACATATTTAAGGAAGATCAAATTTAATATATAGTGTCCCTAAGAATGCCACCTTGTAAATCAAATAATAATCTATATTTTAAGTCATGTAGCTCCATTGGTTGACTCTCTTAACTCCTAAAACAATTCTTGAGTTGTTAGTGAATCAGAAAGCACATTGGGACCTGGTCCTTTTTCTATATTTCCCTCACCAGCAGATGCAAGGCTATGTTCTAGCTCTGCAAGTGTGTGATCTGACAACCAGAGAAAGATTTTCATCTGCCTGGTGAACAACCTATCCAGGGCTCACTGCAAAAAAGCACTTAGCTCTGTTGAGACCTGTTGAACTTTCTCAATTTCATCATTTCTGTTTCATCTATTCAGTGCCAAAGGATTTTCATTTTCAGAACAACCAAAGTCTATGAATTGTAGAAATTGGTCTGTGGGTTTGGTTTTAGTTGGCATAGCATACAAACAGGTGACTGTCCTATCTCTGTAGGGATCTGGCAACTAAAATCCTAATTCAAGGCAGTATTTTTATTTGGGATCACAACAACAGAGCCCATTATGGAGTATAATATTCAATAAATGTTAAAAGGGGGCAGGGGATACATTTAAAATAATTTAATGAAAGGAATTGTGCAAAATACAAGATGCAAGATTTACCATCTGCATTTCCTATATTTTGATTAGGTTAATGCTCCATACTTTTGCCATTTTGATTAGCTTTATGTTTCATGCTGGAGTTTCTCCAGACTAAAAGCCAGTTGTTTGTTTTGTACAGACTGTAGACGGACCTATAGCAATGCATTTTGTTCCCAAGAAGATTAAAGAGATACATTACTAGCTTTCAGAAAGGTGTGTTGTGTCTTGCTTCCTGTTTGGAAACTGATACGCCTTTAATTTCAGGAATAATTAGAGCTACTGGTCAAGGTTTCCATTCCTGTCTGTCTTCAGTCAATGGAATGTTCACAGGGCAAGCAAGGTCTCCTGGTGAAAAAGTCCCATTGTAAAGGAGCAGGTTTTAATCCTGGCTGGCTCCCGTGACAGAATCAGGGTGTGCTGGTGAGGAACAGCACACTGAACTCCACCGAGAGCAAGCTCTTTTCATGACAGCCATCTGTGAGATGTTGTGTATCCATGTGTCTTTAAACTTCTCTGTGTGTCTAATACAAAATTCAAAATACTTTACAGCCCAATTAGAATAATGTCTTGTCCAATTCATGAAATAAATCTGTGACACCAGATTCTTCTAGTTTCACATACAGTATGTTTACTGATAGACGTTGCTGTGTATTTGTTTTAATTAGCTGTAAATTCAGAACTTAGAAGGTGAAGTTACTAATGCCATTGAAGGAAATATTTGTCAAGGTTCTTGAATATGTAAACTACAAGGAACCAGACAAGAGATAAGGCCTGAACTGCCTTCACTCATCTCTAACTATTTGTTCATAATTGTGGCAAATACCTGTCAGACACCTTCCACTTGTGCTTATTGTGTTTGTCTGTCAGAGTGCTGCCTTGTGGGTGAGGGACTGGAGTTGTTGTTGTACGCATGATTATGAGATCTGTTTGGGCTGGGGGCTGTGACTCTTCTCCGGGAGGTGCTAGTTGTCTTGATCTGTGGCACCACTGTGTTGTAGCAAAGACTGAAGGGGTTTGGAATGATGGGTAATTTCAGTCTGTGCGTGTTCCTTTTAATCAGGCTTTAATGTAAGCAGAGACATATTTGTAGCAGTTATTATACACATCAAAAGCTGTGGTTTTTCTCAACATATAACTGTTGTTTTCAGTCAGAAACAGTGGTTGAAGACAAACCATGGGGGTTTTAGGTTAATGACATGATAATCATGATTATTTTAATACTTGTATGTTGTTTTTAGAGTCTGATAAGCATTTAAAAGACTAAACACTACTGTTTTTTCTTCACCTGTTATAAACATGACTAAGTCTAGTTAAATAAAATTGACAATTCTTCCACTCTCTTACCTGTTGGCCGCAGTGCAATTATTTTTGTCTTGTGCTTAATAATAATTTTGTTAAATGATGCTTAATAACATCTTAGTTGTGCGAAAAGTAAAGGATGATTGCTTTATTTTTTTTCTTTCAGCAAATTTTGGCACCCTACACAGATTTTCACTACAGACACAACCCCGACACAGCTGAAGGGCAGCTCAAGTAAGTAAACATACTTACTTAATTCTAAAATACTGTGGGTTTACTGAGTTACTGTATCGATGATGTCTTCTCTGATAAAGGCCTATCATGTGGTCCAGACTGGTGGAGCTGTGTCATTTTCCAGCTGTGATTCTCTAAGGGCAATGCACAATTGGCCAACAGTTGCCAGGGTAACCTTGGCTTGTAGTGCAGCAGTGACCCCATGTGGCCATCTGGAAGCCTATGAACGTGGACAGTTGCATCCATCCTCCTTACTCTACTGTTGGTGCTGTGAGCGTGCAGTGTGAAAGATATCCAACACCCCTCTGGATTTTCCCCCTTTCCTCATCTTCCCGAGTCTCTCTTCCCAGTACTGACTGAGCCCATCCCTGCGTCGCTTCTGAACTGTGATGAGATCATCCTAGAAAGTTGTAACACTGCTGTGAAAGCTTGGAACACTGTTGCATGCCATTTAACTGTTTAGAATTAAGAGAAAGTACTAGTAGAAGAAACATGATTGAAGTCCCTGAAAGAGTCCCAGCTGTGTAGGATTTCAGACCACATTGGCGTAGAAAGAGTTATCTCACATAACATGTAGTGGAGGCTTTTCATTTTTGTCTTTTTCCATTATGTGCATGTTGCTGGTATGGACACTGTGCTGCCACTGTGATTGTGCACATGTAACCTCCCGACAGCAGACAGAGAGGAAAGGATTAATGCAGAAAATCAACCAGTTTTACAGTAGTGGGCAGCTGGTTCAGGACCTGTTGAGATTTGTCATTTACCAATCATTCCATGCACAAATCCAAAAGAAAAAACTTCTTCACACAAAGAGTCATTGGTCAAGTGGTTGTGATGTGTATTGGTTTGTTCAGGATTTTTCAGCTTACTCTCTGATTTTTCTCTGGCAGGGAAGACAGAGAAGCACGCTTTCTTGCCAGCAAAATGGCAATAGTGGCAGCCTTCCGATCTTGGTCAGGTAGGTATATATGCTTGTATCAAAACCCTGGAGATTACCAGTGGTCAAAAAACCTGTGGTTTCAGTAGAATAGGAAGTCAATATTAGAGGGAGCTTTATCAGCATGTAAATTTCAGAGAGATTAATTCCCCAGTGAAAAGCAGAAAAAAAGATCATTTAAAATGCACATATACTATGGCAACTGTTAATTTGGCTATGACAGATTTTAAGAAATTTGAATTTAATCTTTGTTATTATGTTCCTGGAACAGGGGGGGTTAAATTCCATTTGTTTCACCCCACAAACACTTGAATAAGACCACTTTTCTTCAGAAATAGATTGTATATCCTTGAAAAGATTACGGGTATATATTACTATTTCAAAGCACTGTACAAAATGTCTCGGTACCTTAGTAACCTGTTAATAAGAAAATCAATTCAATCGTTGGAATGGAAAAAATAAATTACATGAGACTACATGACTTTCCAATGTTTAATAACTAAACAAACGGTTGCAAAGCTCTCTTTATCTGGTTAGGAATTTGAAAAGCAAGGTTAGGAATTTGAGCCACTGTTACCTGACCACTGCGTCATGTGTACCTTTTTAAACTTCTTTTAAGACTTCTTGTAAAACTGTCTCCTTATGTTAGTTTTAATAGTGGTTTGAGAGAAGTTCTAATCAATTACCCTTTTGCTTTGTCCTTCAAAGTAAAACCAGAAGATCCTTTCATACATTTCATTATCTTTGGGTTGGTTTGACCTAAAATACCCATCTTGTTGTCTCATTTCACTTACCCTTTTATTTTTCTGTTTTACTTTTCCAACTCTGTAGGAATTATTAACCTGTGCAAATCGGGCAGTTCTGGAATCCAGTCACTCATAGGTTTGCTTTGCATACCAAATATGGAAGTACGGGTATGTACACCTTCATCATCAGTGTACAGTACGAGGTTGTTCACCCAGCAAACAATTCACAGATGTGTGCTAGTGTTTGTCCCCTTTGGATATCACAGAGCAAAGTGATTGTCTGCCATTTACACTCGCAAACCTTGTGTAACAGTACAACACACATGTATCATTCTCATGTTAGTTTTAATAAGGGGATTGGGGAATGTAAAATAATTATTTCTTAAGGGAAATGTCAGAATTGTGAGCAATTTGCTAAATATTACAAAAACCTGAATCTCCCTTTTCTGTACATTAGAGTAAGTTACCTTTTAACATCCGAAATACCACACAAAGAACAATGTTTTGTTTAACGAATTCAGTCCAATTGGAGCACTACAGATTTCTTCTCTGGTGTCTATTTTGTTAGAATAAAATATAATTATTTAGGTTACATTAAATAAGTACAATAACATTTGCGAAGATGTTTTGTTATTGAGTCAAATGTAAAGGTAGTTTGGATTGCATTCTTATTTTATAATATACAAGGCAGATTACTCCGGTTTAGGGCTGAGCATTAGGAGTGACCAGCATATTTTATAAGTGTCGCATTAATAAAATGTTAAAAAAAGATTTTAAAAAATCAACTTAAGGTGCTTGTTTCTTTCGCAGTAGTGTGACCGTGTTTCCTACTGCCCTTAAACCAGTGCAAGTGATGTGTGCCCTTTCTCGGTTTGTCTCTGTTTTGTACTGCACTAGATTATGCCCAGAACCTCCTCTTATCTCCATTCTCCTCTCCCCACAGCGCGGCCTGTTGGAGGTCATGTATGACATTTTTCGTCTCCCAGTTCCTGTTGTGACAAACGAATTTATTGAAGCTCTTCTCAGTGTGGGTGGGTATTGCCAGTCCTCCTAAAAAGAGTTTTCTCAGTTCTCGAAATTAGATTAATAATCAATACATTGAAATTCCTTCAGATTTGGTTTATAATTTTTCAGCATGGGGTAATGTTATGTGGAAATAGGAGTTAGGAACAGAACTGTTGCTTTGAGCATGGAGCAGAAAACAATTTGGTCCATGCTTTGTTATTTAGTGCTTATTTATTTAAGCTGTCTTGTGTTTTTGTTGTCGTTATGTTCCGGTGACTCCAGATTTGAATTTAGTGAGATTTTAGCAGGAAAAGGAAAGGGAGGCAAGATATTCCATGATGCGACACACTTGTGGAAAGAGTTTGCCAATATTATTAATATTGAGTCTTGAAAAGGATCCTCAGTATTAACCCCCAGTCACTCCATGCGAGTTAACAACTTTTTTAGATTTTGTTATGAAAACAGATGTGGTGTGTGAACGTTGAGTGCAAAATGAAATTAGTAGTTAGATAAGTAGTCAGTTGTAATCTGTTTTCTCTTGATTGTGACCTGTGATCTTCATGTAACAGTGTGGGGAGGGCACCAGTTCTTTAGTTTCTTTTTTCATTTTAGTGTGGAACGCTCGGTGCTCCCTTGTCTCGCTTGGCCCACCTTGTGCATCTTGCGTGTGGGCAAGTGGGACAGAAAGCAGTTTTGCTCTGGAGTTCTAGAGCTCTAATTAGCTCTAGTTTTATATGATTGTTTGATCTGAGTTCCTTTAGTTTTTGGCTTTGTGTTGTTTTAAATTTAGATTTATCATGGTCTGCTTTTATGGGCCACAAAGCTCTTTGAGATGATTATATAAAATTAAGTTTATTATTTTAATAAAGGTCCATGTCAGTCACACGTAAATGAGTCTCCACTCATAGGTTTATCTGTCTTAACTCGCTTTGATAGGCATGTTTTAGGAGTGAATGAGTATCGGGTATTAGGCAGTTAAATTTCCACATTTCACCTGTTTTTTTTGCACATGCAAGCTTTGGTACATGCAGTCCATCCTGTAGGTGCTATGGACTTCAGTGTTTCGTTCAAATAAGCAGTGTTCAAGTATGTAACAATATGAAGAGATAAAACCTTGGCTGGTCACTAAATGACAGTCGAATACTTCCAGTCATTTATGGTATGCATTTTGGTTTTTATCTGTTACGTTTAGACCCCAGTCGATTTCAGGACACCTGGAGGCTGTCAGATGGTTTTGTGGCAGCTGAGGCAAAAATCATACTTCCACATCGAGCCAGGTCAAGGTAAGAAGCAATGACCTGCTGGTCCTCTGAGAATTTCTCTTTGTAACACATACCACAGAGCCTCGTCTGATTCCTTTCTTTCACCCAGAAAACTGTTTGATTCAAATTTCTTTCCATTGATATTGCAGTGCATTTCTTTTTAAATAACACACTTCACTATGTATCTCTGAAGAGGCTCATCCAGTAAGGGTCTTGGTTCATAGAAGAGGGCTACAGTATGTGCTGGAGTTCAGACAGAGACCTTCCACTGGTCAACAGAGGTGTTGAGTGTGTTCAGTTCCGACCAGGGTTTCCTCTCGTTTGTCACCTGCCAGCGCCTACAAGCGTGCTGTGTGGTCAGCATAAACTGCATCGATCCTCCATGCAGAGCCTCATTATGGCTGTTCTGACTGTGTGCGCTATGAATAAAGCCTGAACGAGCTAATCAATATCTTATACTTGTAGATTCATGGCATTATTGTATTTTTTAGTTTTGTAGACATGTGTTATTTGAGTTATTTTTAATAATTTAAATATTGCTATAACTTCACTGACTATAGATGTGTGATTTCGCATGTTAAGCTGCTTGAACTTTGTCAGCATTACTGTTGTTTCCCACCAGCTAATGTCTTTATGGCGCCTGCCTGATTAAATGCAAAGGCTTGGGTGTCCAGAATCTGCTATGTTTCCCCTCCATGTAACCCCTGCACAATGGTGGAATATGAAATTCCACTTGCATGCAAAAGCAGGAATATCCTGCAGAATACACATCCAGCATAACAAAGCATTCAGCAGATTTCTTGCAAACGATGATAGTGAGTGAATCGTGACCTGAATAGTTAAGGAATTTCAGGAGTCACCAGTTCTTATTCAGCTATGGTCACAAGTAAAAAGTTTCATGAGTTTAGAAATCCCAGGTTCATTTCTAGTGAGAACCACACATGTCATTAAAAGCCTGGTGGATGCCTTTGGGCACACAAACATCTTTTGCACCACCATCAAAAGTCATCTTTTGTAATGACGTGACTATTCCTGTGACACATTTCTCTATTGTGGACCCTGTGGCTAGTTTAGATTGAACAGTTGTGTTTTTCTTTAAAAAATCTTTAAAATCCCCCTGTTGGCAGTCAGTGGTCAATGGTGATAAATTCTGCACCAGTACCGCAGAAATGGTATTGGCCAACTACTGAATCATTTTATGAACCATGTATGCTGTTACATGGCTGTCGGCAGGGTATTTCTCCTTATTGTATCCGTACCCCTTGAGAACTAGCCTGTCCTGTAGTTAAGAGAAAGAGGGCTTCTTGGTTTGAAACATGGCACTGCTCTAACTCACTGAGCAAGTTACTCTTCCTCCTTGCGCTTCATGTTTCAGTTAAGACATGAAGCTATAGTCCTGTTATAGTTTATTCCTGTTTAGGAATAGGTGATACATATGAAAGGTTAAGCAGTTTTAAGGATCTGTAAAAACAGCTCTTAGTTGTTTGTTTGTTACATCACTGGGACAACTTAGGGCTTGTCTAATTGTGTCAGAGCTCTATACAAGAAGGTTTTTCAGGTGTTGCTTTTTTATACTTGGACTGAACCCTCAATTTTAAATAAAAAGTGTAATTAGCTATGTACAAGCCAGAAAAAGGACAAATATTCCAGGGACAGACCAGAATAAAATGAAAGTGAGATTTCTAGTTGTGTTGAAGTATGTCCCAAAGAATTATTCATAGTCTAGATGAAAAAATGAAAGTAATGGCATTACTGGTTTACCATGATAAAATACAATAATGTGCAAGCCAGTGTTGGGGAGGGTAGAGACAGGAGTTCTTATGTCATCAATGCAGCAGTTTTCATATATACTAGTACAGTATATACTGATAAGGGCTGGGTTTGCCAAAAATGTGTCTGCTGCTCTTGCCTCTCTGTTTTGACCTCGTAATAACAAACATTGGAAAGTGCTGTGTTTTATGGCTCTGGGGCAAATGCCAGGCTTATTTGGAGGCCGGCAGCTGCTTAGATGTTTGAGAGTTGGCACACCAGACGAGGCCCTGTGTGTGTTTGCAGTGAGGCTGGTTTTTCTGCGCTTTCACAGACAACAGTTAGAGAAAAAGGAGATGTGAATGGGTACAATGCCATGACTGGCTGTGAATGTGTGATGGTGTCTGTTGCATTTTGTTTAAAATTGCCATGTGAGCAGCTTTTAGCCTAGCACTGATATAAAAACAGGAGAGCAAAAGTAAAAAACTGAGGAAAAAAAACAAATACAGCCATTAGTAGGTAGTCATGCCTCTTGTATCTTAAGGTAAGATCACTTTTTTGGCCATATACAATTTCTTGTATTTGGAATTTGTCTTTTCGCATACCCCAACTTGCTCTCCATGAGACACAGAGATACTCAGGGAGAGAAGCTTGGGGTCAGAGCGCAGGATCAGTCATTTATACGTTGCCCCTGGAGCAGTTGGGGTTAAGGGCCTTGCTCATGGGCCCAACGGAGTAGGATTCCTCTGCCGACCGCAGGATAAGACCTGGCAACCTTCCAGCCACAGGCACAGATCCTTAGCCACAGAATATGCTGAAAAATGAATGCACTGGGCTGATATTACTCATATGGTCACTACAGTGATATGGGGAAACTGGGGTTTAAAACCCATGGCCTGCTGTACAGTAACACTAACGCTTATGTTTTACTTTGCTTGTATTCATCAGGCCTGACTTGATGGACAACTACCTGGCCCTGGTACTTTCCGCCTTCATTAGCAGCGGACTCTTAGAGGTGTGGAACAGGCAGTTGTTTCTCTTCGCCTATTTTGTTAAAGATGTTTTTTTCAACCGTAGATTTTCCCTTTTTAAAATCCTGTGTATTTTGGTTAAACGCAGGGCTTAGTTGAAGTAATCACGAGCAGCGATGACCACGTGTCCGTGCGTGCGACCATCCTCCTGGGAGAACTTTTGCACATGGTAACGTGAATCTTACAGAATCTGCCTGCTCCTGTTCACAGTAGGAGGTTGCAGAAATTAACTTTCATTTATCGTACATAACCCGATTCTTCAGAGTAAAACAGTGACACCAGATTGATCCACACTGCCTAGGATACTTTGAGGTTCAAGGGTGTGATTAACCAAAGTTCAGGGAAGATGACAGCAACCTCCCTCTCCTTTGCTAATCTAACTAACATGACATGTTGTAGAACTCCATAACATTATTTCCTCAAAAACTATTAATGCCATATTTGAGCATCTAATGCCATATTGTTCGCATTAGTTTTTTTTTTTTCTTTTTGCATCCCTCCTGCTCCCTATCTCCACTCTTTATGAAGCTCCCCCTTGGCTAAGTTCTCCCTCTGCATGGGGGAGTCCAGTTGGTTGGCCTTCAGCCAAGCAGGTTAAGCCAAAGTCCTTAATAAACATTCCTAAATGTATTTCCTAATTGAAAATAACACTAGAGGCCGTTGCTACTGTAGTAGCTTCCTAGAAAAAATACAAATAAAACAGGCTTTGGCAATTTGGATTTCTGTACCCGATAGTACATACATATGCTTTTTCCCAGAATAAAAAATACATTTTTATACTTAATCTATCTTTTTTAAGTTTTCAGCACCCACTTACATTTACCTTCAAAAGAATTGTTAAGGTGTGTAGGTATACTTTAGATGGCTGCCCCATTATACCTTACATGATTTGCTTCATGTAAATACTTACGTGCCACAGAAAACGCCTTTATTATTTTTGGGGGCTTAGAAGCATACTGTACAAGAATCTCTGTACAGTATGCACAACCTACTAAACTACTTAACAAAGGTTTGCTTGAGGGCTCTTTGAGATTTCATAAGTAAAATAGTGAAATAATTGTTTTAACATTATACTGTGTACTGTATTGACCAGCTAAAATGGTCCACTAAAATGGTATTCAGTGGAATGTGAGTCGCAAACTTGTGTCCTTTCCTTGCCTTCTTTCCACAGGCCAATACAATCCTTCCACATTCACACAGCCATCATTTGCACTGCCTGCCCACCCTGATGAACATGGCAGCCTCATTCGATATTTCACAGGAGAAAAGGATGTGAGTACCTCTAAACTCTGGCGTCAATTGTTTGTTTAGTAATGCACGGCTTGACACATATATAAGTGATATGAGGTACAAAATACAGTGACATCTCAGCCTTTTAGAATAATATAAGAACATCATGCAAACAAGATGAAGCCATTTGACCTGTCATGTTTGGTAGTGAATTGAACATTTTGTCTAGTCTCTTTTTTTAAGGAACCTAGAGTTTGTGCCTCACCCACCTGGCTGGGCAGCCTGTTGAAGATTCCCCTAGTTCATTGTGTAAAGAGTCATTTCCTGTCCTCAGTCTGAAATGATTTTTTTGCCACCTGTAATAGCTCTAATAATTGTACACCTCTCTTTGGTAAAGGGAATCTGCCGTTAAAGCTTTACCCAACCAATTTGGGGATTTTGAAACATGACTTAACCCTAACACGCATTTCGCTCTTTATGTGGAGGTTGTTTCTTCAAAGTTTTAAAATATGATTTTAAAAAGATGAAAAGAATGAAAGCGATCAGGAACCAAAATTGGGGGTTTATTTAGCACATTAAGACGTGTGCTGGTAGCTTTGTTTAAAATAGGTACTATGCTGATATCTGAATTTGTTCTGTGCATTGTCACTGAATAACTGATTCTTTAGTCCAAGTAGCCTGACGTTTACTGCAGTCAATTATGTTCTCTTAGGTTTTGTTTAAGAAAACACATAGGCAGAATATTTTTTTAAGGGCTGGCGAAATCAAAAGTTCCTTCACATCGCAGAGAACTAAAGAGAGTTTATTGCCTGTGGTTCTTCAGGCGAGCCAGTGCAGCAGTGAATTGCCTAAAACGCTTCCATGAAAAGAAGAAGAGGGGTCCCAAGCCTCACAGCCTGTATCTGGACCACATCATCAGGAAGTCAGCGGCAGCACACTACAGAAGAGACCAGCACCTGCGAGTACAGAAAGACATCTTCATTCTCAAGGTGCGAGCTGCAAACTAACTTGCTTATCAAACATCTTTTGAAAAGTTGTTACTTGTACAATATTGTGTCTGCATGCAATTTTATCCAATTGCATGTAGTAGACATTCAACGTAATGGTGTGTGTTTCAATTGAGAACCATGTAGTGGGCCATTTCAGTGGTCCAGATTCTGGTATAGCTAGTAAGCTAGTCACACGTGGAGACAACACAACAATTGAAATTGGATTGTAAAACCCCTTATGAGCAACAAGCAGGAATTTTAGAGGGATCTGGATAATTCAATATTGTGAATGTTGACAACTGCAAATTATTATTTGGGTGTAGCAAAACCAAGGTATTGATGGACACACTGAGCTTGAAGAAGTTACCTACTGTATGGGAAAGACTTAGATGCTCATCTTGTCACATCATTACTGTCATCTAGCCAATGTGGGGAAGCAATAATAAAGCAATAACAGAATGTTGGGATATATTGTTAAAAGTGTAAAATTTTAAATTGAAGTGCTGTATGAAAAAAATGATATACTTCGGGACAGCAGCTAATAGTAATCATTAATATCCAGTAGTAAAATTTGAGTGGCCTTCTCTGGCTAATAATCATTTGTCTGTTTTTATGCAAAACATTTTTACTTTCCTTACCACATGGGCTGTGACAGATTTATCTCTTTTTAACCTTTTTTTTCATCTTGACTTGATTTTAGTCAGGTTATCTGTTGTTTAGACAGATGCTCAACCTTTTTGTAGGGACGTTTTAATTTCCTATTACAAATTAAAAATATCCACTTTTCCTTTCTTTGTCTAGGACACTGAAGAAGCTCTTATGATGAACCTCAGAGATAGTCAAATCCTCAACCACAAACAGAATTTGGACTGGAACTGGGTTCTCATTGGAACAATTTTAAAGGTGAGGGCAGGCCTTCCTGCCTTCGGCTTGAAAAAATATTTTAATTTAAATGTCCAGTTTAATCAACAAATGCAGAAATGGTTGTGCACAGATTTTAATATGGCTCGTATGGCAGTTGTCTGATAGAAAGTGGTATTATCGATGGCTGACACTTTTGTATTTGGAGGTTTTCATCATATTTATGTTCAACACATTGTTATTTGTACAAAGTAACATAAAACACATTTGATTCTCATATCAGAAATATCCACAAGCACTTTAAAACAGACACAAATCCTCACTCTTATTCTGAAAACCGTGATTCATAAAGACACGTAGTAACAAAAATGACAGAAGTACCTAATGAAAAACTCAAAATGCAAGAGTGTAATTACATTTTATATTCTGGTTTAGTTTTTTTGTTTGACATTTGATACACTGCTTGAGTCTTTTTTCCCCTAAAAACATGTACCATAACAGGAAGAGCAAAGAATCCCTTAAAACAATCCATTAAAAAACAGTCTCTAGAAAAGAAGTCTTCTGTTGTTTTACACTATGATTCTGGGGAGAGAGTCATGTCTTAGTTCTTTAGACAACAACATACAGCTTCTGGAACTCC